ATTATCCCTCTATCCATCTCCCTGTCCCCATTATCCCTCTATCCATCATCCCTGTCTCCATTATCCCTGTATCCATCATCCCTGTTTACATCCCCATCGCTGTGCCCTTCCCTGGCGTGGCAGGGCCGCCTAGTGGTCGGTGACAGCACTGTAGGTGACATCTTGGGGACATTTTTATCCCCTTCCTTGCCTCTCACCACGTCACTGCAGTGGCACAGGGCCGTCACTGCCAGACACAGGGTGGGGACAGCTGTCCTGCTGTCCCCCCATCCTCCCAGCCATGGTGGTTCTGGCTGGTGTCCCCCTCGGTGTGGGTGGCCTGGGGCACCCCTGGCTTGGGGACTCCCTCCCGCTGGCCCCTGGTGATGCCTCTGAGCAGCCTCTTCTCTCCCCCGCAGCGGTGGCAGGACCTGAATGTCATCAGCAGCCTGTTGAAATCCTTCTTCCGGAAGCTTCCCGAGCCCCTGTTCACGGATGGTGAGTCCCTGCACACCCTGGGCCACCAGAGCCCCCCGAGTGGCCACTGTGCCAATGGCTGGCACCAGGCAGCCCCAGGGCCTGTCCCATCCATCCCCGTGTCAGGTACAGGCCCCCACACCCAGAGTGAGCCAGTGCCCACCCAAGGAGGGGGACACAGACCCTCCTTCACCCAGAGTGAGCCAGTGCCCACCCGAGGAGGGGGGCACAGACCCTCCCTCACCCAGAGTGAGCCAGTGCCCACCCGAGGTGGGGGGCACAGACCCTCCCTCACCCAGAGTGAGCCAGTGCCCACCCGAGGTGGGGGGCGCAGACCCTCCCTCACCGAGGCCCCTGGGCCAGCCCTGTCCCTTCAGTGCCCTATCCCAGTGGGATCAGCCCCTTCCCCAGGATCTCCAGCTGGTTCATCCAGGGGTCCCCAGCTCTGGGGGGATGTCCTCTCCCCTCCACCCAGTTCTGACCCCTCCCACGTCCCACTTTCAGATAAATACAACGACTTTATTGAAGCCAACCGGATAGAAGATGCCAGCGAGAGGATGAGGACGCTGCGGAAACTGGTAGGGAGATGGGGCAGGGGCTCCACAGCCCTGGAGCCCCTCTGTGGGGCTGGTTGGGGTGGGAGGGGTGGTGGTGGGGTGAGCAGAGGGGTGACCCGGTGCCTCCCCACAGATCCGGGACCTGCCAGGTCACTACTACGAGACGCTCAAGTTCCTGGTGGGTCACCTGAAAACCATCGCTGACCACTCGGAGAAGAACAAGGTACCAGACCTCGAACCCTGGGAATCTCCTGAGCCCCCTGCCCCACCCGGACCCCTCCCCCCCCATCTCGGGCTGAGCTGGCAGCACTAACCTGGCTCTGGTTGCAGATGGAGCCCCGAAACCTGGCGCTGGTGTTCGGCCCCACGCTGGTCCGGACGTCCGAGGACAACATGACGGACATGGTGACGCACATGCCCGACCGCTACAAGATCGTGGAGACCCTCATCCAGCACGTGAGTGGCACCAGCGGGTGGGTGGGCACCTCTGTGGCTGGAGGAGGGGGGTGATCAGCACCCCAGGCACGGGGATGGGGCTCCCTGGCCGTGCTGAGCTCCCCCTGCTCCCGACTGGGCTGTAACCCCCCTCCTGTCTCCCCACAGTCAGACTGGTTCTTCAGTGACAAGGAGGACAAGGGCGAGAAGGTGAGTCCTGTTTCCTCTGGGAGGGGGGTCTTGCTGTGGGGCAGGGGGGGCACAGAGCCTTGGTCGGCTGTTGGCAGCCCCCTGACCACCATCCCCGCTGCCCTGGCAGACCCCCGTGGATGAGAAGGAGGCTCAGTCCGTGCCCAACATCGAGTACCTGCTCCCCAACATCGGCAGGACGGCGGCGCCCAGCGATGCCGCAGGTGAGCAGCGGTGCCCGTGGCACCAGGCCCTGCAACCCTGGCACTGGGGCACCCCGGGGTGCCCCTCTGGATGCTCTGTCCCCCCGTGCCCACACCTCCAGGCAGCCAGCAAACCCACACACGGCAAACCTGGCTGTGCTGGAGCGGGACATCCCGGCGCCCTCCTCACTGGAAAATGGGAATAACCCCCTTGGGGATGCCAGACAAGCCCCTTCCCTGCCCTCTCCTGTCACCCTTCTCTCTGGTGGCTGCTCCTCATCCCTCCGTGGCACCCCGGCAGCGCCCACCCCACGGGACCCCCGCCCGTGCCCGCGCTGCCCACCCCGACACCGGGAGACTTTGATGTTCGACTGATTTCTTACGTTCTTTCCTTGAACTTCTCTGTGCTGTCCTCTTCCTCCTCCTCCTCCTCTTCCTCCTCCAGCGGACCTCCTGGAGAGCTAGAGCGGGTACAGTTTGATCCTGGGTGCATTGATCCCGCACTAACCCCTCGGGTGACCATGAGAGAGCGGGAGCAGGGTGGGCAGAGGGAGGGGAGGGGGCCCTGTCCTGCCTGGCCGCTGTCCCCAGGGTCCCCAGCACCAGGAGGGGGCTGCTGAGCCTCTGGGGAGCCCCAAATCCTTTAACCCTGTCATCCCCCATCATTGGCCAGTGCTCACGGTGCCATTCCCTGGCAGGGCTGGGGGCTGGGTGTCCCTTACACTCAAACTCTGAGATATGGGGGTCCCAAAGCCCCGGGGAGGGTCAGCACCCCCTTCCTGCCTCCCCCTCTCTCGTTGTCAGGAGCTGTTTAACCCCATCCCGGGCTTGCGGGGCGGGAGAGGGTGTCTGTGTCTTGTCCTTGTCCTTCACGCCACAGCAGCGGTGCCAAGGCTGCCCGTCACCCCCGTGTCCCCTCTTACCCCCTAACCCCCAGGGGAGCTGGGACGGCCCCATGACCTGTCCCAGCCCTCTCCAGCACAACCCATTCCAGACCCTGCTCCGAGGCTGGCTATGCTATGGAGCCACCTCCCTGTGCTCCGTCCTGGTGGCACAGCAGTGGCAGTGCCCTGTCCCTGTCCCCTCTGTGACCTGTGGCCGTGGGAGGGTTGGGGTCCTGGCGCCGGGGTCCTGGCTGTACTTCTCAGCTGCGTGTGCCTCTGTGTGTCCCCCTTATCCCCACTCCTCACCCTGGGTTTCTGCAGTGGGTGAGCAATGCCAGGGACCCCCAGAGCCCCCCCTGAACCTCCTGGCACCTCCTGTACCCGTTGGCACACCCCTGTGCCGGTGTGACAGCCCCAGCACGTCCCCATCCTGGCCTGAGGGAACGGAGCAGCATCTGTGACAGCCCCAGCATGTCCCCATCCTGGTCTGGGGGAACAGAGCAACATCCCCAGCTCTGCCCCCCGGCCCCCTCCCCAGCACACCCCCCACCCCCGGGGCCTCACTGACCCCCCTCTCCCCTCTGCTTTCCAGGCTCGACCCGCAGCGGCTCCGCCAAACCGAAGGTGAGGGGGGTCCCGGGCTGGGGCTGGTGGGGAGGGACACTCAGCGGTGGTGGGGACACTGGGCCTTTCCTTGTCCCTGTGTCCTCGTCCCTGTGTCCCCGCCATCCCTCACCGCGGTGTCCCCGTTCCCCCAGGGCACGTGGCCGTCCCGAAAGGCGCCGCCGCACCGGGAGCTCCTCGGCATCCCCTTCGTCTCGGCCGCCGCCCGCAAGAGGAAGAAGAGGAGAGAGGCCGAGGGCGTCGGCAGCAGCACCGACGACGACGCGGAGCGCAGGGACACGCCGGGCCGGGACCAGGAGCGCCAGGGGACCGCGGCCACCCCGCCGGGACCCGGCAAAGCCCCCCGCGGGACCGGCACCGAGCCGGCCGCCCCCGGCCCGACCAGGGGGGAACAGGAGAGCTCCACGGATCCCGCGGCGGGATCCGGCTCCGAGCCGGCGCCGGACGCCCGCTCCATCGTGTCCGGTTACTCCACGCTGTCCACCATGGACCGCAGCCTGTGCTCCGAGGTGCAGTCGGTGGCCGGGAGCCGCGGGGAGGAGGCGGATGATGAGCGGAGCGAGCTCAGCCACATGGAGACGGACACGGAGAGCCGGGAGGGCACCCGAGCCCGGCCGGGGCAGGCCGGGGGGGCCGGTGGTGATGAGGACAAGGGTCCCCTGGGCCGCCCCTCCTTCAACTCCCACCGCCTGATCCAGTGTGACACGCTGGCCCGCAGGAAGCTGGGCCGGCCGCGGCCTACCGGGGACCCCCCCGAGCCCGCCGGGGAGGAGCAGGGTTGGGCCCCCCCTGGGCGACCCTCGCTGCGGGAGCAGCTCCGGCAGCACCTGCGGGGCTCCACCGACGACATGGGGGTCCTGGGGGTCCGGCTGCGCCGAGCCCACTCCCCCGAGACCCGCCGCAAGAAGAGCAGCTGGCGCCGGCACACGGTGGTGGTGCCCGGCGGCCTCAAAGACCTCAACTTCAACGAGTGGAAGGAGCCGCGGGGGCTGGAGGGCTCCCCGGGCCCCTGCCACGACAAGGACTCGGGGCTCAGCAGCCTGGAGTCCACCAAAGCCCGGCCCCCGGCCCCCACCCCGGCACAGCCTGGCACCGCCAGAGAGGGGACGGGCACCAAGAGCCCCCCGGGCAGCCCCGGCCCCCCGGCCCCCCTGCGCTTCCCCCAGTGTCTCTGACCCCCCCGACCCCCCCAGCCAGTGTTTAATTTAAGGACTCGCCCTTGTTCTCGTATTTAATTGCGCTCTGGACGAGCTGCTGGTGTTTAACAGGCCCCGTGTGGGGGTGGGACCAAAAGCCACCTCGTCCCCTGGGCTTTGAGGGGGGGTCCCACGGAGGTCCCATCCCATGGTCCCGCTGTGGTCCCATTGCACGGCCCCCCAGCCCCCCGGGCAGTGCCAGGAGGGGTGTGGGGGCTCACGGGGACTGTCCCCACCGCGGGCAGTGGTGGCCCTGCTGTCCCAGCTGTGGGCAATGTGAAGTGCGGGCACTTCCCTGGGCACTGCGGCCACTCTGCCAGGGACTCCCCTGTGCTGGGGACCCTGGGGAACCCTGGGGGACCCTGGTGTCACAGACCCCTGTGCTGGGGACCCTGAAGGACCCTGGTGCCAGAGACCCCTGTGCTGGGGACCCTGAATGACCCTGGTGTCACAGACCCCTGTGCTGGGGACCCTGGGGACCTCAGTATTAGAGACCTTCCCTACTCTGAGGACTCTGGGGATGTTGGTGACAAAGACCCCCAGCTCTGGGGACTTTGGGGACCTCAGGGACAAAGAACTTCCCTGCACTGGGGACACTGGTGACCTTGGTGACAGAGACCCCTGTACCAGGGGCCCTGGGGACATTGG